CTGGCTGCTGGCCACTCATGCTGGCTGCTGGCTACACATGGTAGCCCATGGCAACCCACTGCAGCAGGGGCTGCAGCCTACGCCTGGTGACTCAGGGCAGCCCAGCTCCAGGTTGAGCTGTTGTCCAGCATCTTAGCTGTAGAGGGCAGTGTCACTGGCCCTTATATGTGGGATCTGAACTGGGGCCCTCTGGCATCCCAAGCCAGCTCTTAACCAACGCACCACTCAGCCGGCCCAGTATAAGGATTTTTCAAATGGTGAACTGCAGTTTTCCTTGCTGCAACTCTTTTGAGATGATATCTCTGGTGGTATTCCGAACAGTGGCACCACTTGAGAAAAAGCTTCAAAGAGCTGTGTTTGTGATAAATCGTTTTTTTCCTTTAATCTTGCAGAGAACCTTCGGAGGCTCCAATCACTTTTGATGCAGATGCTTTTCTTAATTATTTTGATAAGATTTTAGGTAAGTTATAGTGTGATATTTATTTTCATTTTGAAACTATAAGTAGTATGGCTGTTGCTAGAGCATTGGAGCATTGGATCTCGCAGAAGACAAAATATTTGCTTTCTCTTTATAATTTTGAGTTGCTTTCAACCATGTATTGCCCTATTGAATGATTTTGCAGAGGATGGTTGGTTAACTTAGTGTCTGACATAGTAGCTGTTCATTAAATATTTGTTGAATGAGTGAATGCTGTGTGTTTAGATAGGATTTACCTTGGCTCCCATATTACATTGCTTTTTCTCGTTTGGACTTACTGCACTTACACACTAATAATAAAAAGACAACTAGCCCAATAAAAAAAATCAACCAAGGATATCAGCAGGCAGTGCCTTGAAGAAGAAATATAGTCAGTAAATATTTGAAAATACTTAACTATTATATAAGCAAGTAAATACACAATAAAAGTAAAAAGTTACTTCTTTGCCCATAATATTGGCAAAGACTGAAAAGATTGATCACAACCAGTTTTCTCAAGGATTGGCGAAATGAGCACTGTTCAAACTCGGAGGGGAGAGAAGTGTAAGTTGTTTTTTCACAGAGCAGTTTGGTACTCTAGAATATTTATAACCTTGACTTAGCAATTTCACTTCCAGGAATTTATTCTATGAAAAAGATATATATGCCAAGATGATGACTGCAGCTTTGTAGTGGTGAAAAATTGGAATATTCTAAATGTCTACCAAGAAGGAAATGGTTAAATAAATCATTGTACAGTTGACCCTTACATGGGTTTGAACTGTGCGGGTCTACTTATATGTGGATATTTTTCAATAAATATTTATAAATGTATTTTCTCTTCTGTATAATTTTTTTAATAACATGTCCTTTTCTCTAGCTTACTTTACTGTAAGAATACAGTATATAATACATAGAACATACCAAACATGTTAATCAACTATATTATTGGTAGGCTTCTGGTCAACTGTAGGCTATTAGTAAAGTTTTTGGGGAGTCAAAAGGTATATGTGGGTTTTGACTGCACAGGGTGTCACATCTCAACCTCTGCATTGTTCAGGGGTCAACTGTACACCCATATTATGAAATACTTAAAAATGCCTTAATAAAGAATCTATATGTTTTGGCAGAGAAGGAACTCCAAGACATATAAATAAGTGGAAAAGCAACCATAGTTCAATATGTAGATTTGTAAAAAACAAAAAATCAACTATATGTTTATATATATGTACAGAACTGCATAGATAAAGGTCTGGGTACCCACCATACTGTTACAAGATGCTTACCTCTGGGAAGAAAGTGAAATGTGAGACAATAATTCTGTATGGCTTGAATGTTTATGTCAAAATGTATTCATGTATTATGTAGTCTTTTCATTTTTTTAAGTAAAAAATTTTAATTATTTGAATTCACATTAAAAAAAAAAGCTGAATCTTTCAGTTCAGCCTATGTACTTTTCTGCAAATATCTTCCAGCAGTACCATTTTCTGGAAGTGATTTTTGTGAAGAGTTTGCTTATGTATGTTGGTCCTTTTCTGCAGATAATATTCGAATTCTTTTGAGAGGTATAATCACTTTAAAAAAATTTACCAAGTGGCTTTTTCTGTGTTGGGGTGTAGGGCCAAGGCCTCAAGAATCGGACTCTGACGACCTGGATGAAGAAGACTCTGACTATTTAGATAGTGATGATGACTTGGACCTTGAAACACAGGAGCACGGGGAAGAAGCATCTGTAAAAGGAACTCTTGATGATCTCAAGTCATACATGGCCCAGATGGACCTGGAACTTGCACATACCAGCATTGGCAAAAGTTTCACTGCCCAGAAGCAAATGGTATGTGTGTGTTTCCCTTTCTGAGTCTATTATGGAGGATAGCTAAAACCATATTTTATCTTATTTTTTGATTTGTGATCATTTTTTTTGTAATGAATTTGATTTTTTGCTTTGAAATACATAAAAATGCTAATTTTTCCTGACTCTGGTAAGATGAAGGATTAGTAACTCTATTTTCCTAAACATAAGCTTAATTATATAACATACTGTATTTTATCTCTCAGGATTTAAAATAAAAAGTCATGTGATGTGTTGAAATTAGTATGTGGTTATATACTACTACCAATAGCGTAAATCAATTTTTTAAAAAGGATCTTAAATATCCAAATAATTTTCAAGTGTTAATAGTGTTTGTTTTGTGTGTTCCCCTAATTCAGGGCCAAATTTACAATTCATCTTCCACTCGTGTTTTTAGTCCTAGTTTTTATACCAGCACTCTCATTCTAGACAGAGAAAGAGAATGGACCCTGGAGTCTCATGGGTTAGGGTTTGAAATCCATTTCATCTGTCCACTGTGAATGTATTCATTAGCGAATATGCCTCATGTCATAAAATTAACATGAGAACCAAATGGGACAACAGTAAAACCAATAATGGGCCCTTCATTAATGTTATTCCCTTGCTTTGATCATCTAAACCACATTTAAAACTGTATTTACTTCCAGTATTACTGAAACCTAATAGAAACCATGCATTAAGATTTTTCTAAAGCAGTGTTTCTTAAATTTTAATGTAAATATGAGCCAACTAAAGATCTTAAAATAGAGATTCTGGTTAATTCTCTCAGTGGTGTGACCTGAGATTTTCCATCTCTGATGAGCTCCTAAGTGATGCCCAAGCTTCTGGTCTGTGGACCACACTTTGAGTAGCAAAGACATAAAGGCCTATAGATCAGGCTGCAGTCTTTCAAATCCTTCCCAAACCAGTGAAATTAGAGGCTCAAGTCACGATTCAGTCTTTGTGGTTTGACCCCAAAAAGCTTCAGGTTTTTATTTTAAGTTTTCTCATTGGGGTGGGGGCGGGGGAAATCTAGCTTCCTTCATTTAGAAAAAAAATTTAGATTCTTTTTTTCTTCATGTTCATTTTTATGTTTATTTCTTTAAAAACTCTTAGGCAAGCTGTAAGTGTACCTCCTTAACCCTGGCTATCTCCCTTGGGCTATTTCAAAATAAGAAGAAATCCACTCAATTTGTAGAAGCTTTTCCTAGAAAGAAGTGTGTTATAATCTTTGGAACCAAATTTTAATGTGTGTTAAATGACATAGTTTACTAGACTTCGTTTTTACTTTCTATCAAGGATAAGATATTTCCTTTTTAATTTGGGATTCAATTTTACATTGTTGCTTAAGTTAGCTTTTTACTAACTACCATCCAACCTAATGGCATGTTATCCCATGATTTTCTTTTTCTCCATGAATAAGGAATCTCTATCCCAGACTACCAATAGCAATTCAGATGAGGAGGATTCCGGTGCAGAAGGATCTGTTATGACACCTGTGGATGTCGACCTGAACCTGGTTTCCAATATATTGGAATCATATAGTTCCCAAGCTGGACTGGCAGGACCTGCCTCCAACCTTTTACAGAGCATGGGCGTGCGGCTCCCCGACGACACTGATCACAGGCCCACGAGTAAGCCAGCGAAAGATTAGCCAGCAAACCTAGCCCCCTCTCTTTTTTTTTAAAACACATTCTGAGTCTGATTGTGCTCCTTTCTAGTTTAGAGTGCTCATGTAAAGTTTCTTCATTCCAAATTTCACAGATTCTCTTTTCCTCTATATGCCCCAAATGTTGCCCTTTCTGCAAGTCTTTGTGAGCTCCAAGGAGTGCACACAAGGTTTTGAAGTCATAAGAGAGAGGATCAAGCTCCCAAGATGAGATTTACACTCTCCACATTTAGGGCATTAAGTGTTTTTTATTGAGGATTAAATGTTGGGTAGAGAAAAGGAAAGTAGTCAAAAATAAAGAATGTGGGCCGGCTGAGTGGCTCAGTTGGTTAAGAGCTCGCTCAAGAGTTTGAGCTCTGAGCAACAGCGGTTTGATTCCCGGCCCGAGCTGAGCTGCCACTGAGCTTCCAACAGGTGGCAGGATTGCTCAGCTTAAAAAAAACAAAAACAAAAAAACAATGAATGAGTTGCTGTTTTATTCCAGTTACCAGGAATGATCTTGAGCTAGGCTCACTCTAGTGACAAATACATTTGTTTTAATGTTTCACCTGTTTTTACTATTCCATTTCATGGACCCTGTGGGTTTGTTTTATCTTTAGCACCTTCATAACTCATTGCTACATGCTCTCCAGCAAGGTAAACCCTGTACCGAAGTTTCTGTTATTTATCTGCCATTTTCAACACCCCAACCATGTCCTCTTTTGCCTCCACTTTCAAATATCCTTGGAGTTCTAAAAACCAAAGCCCTCTTCCCACTCACTGCTGGAAAACAAAGTTCAGTGTCGCAGGTCCTCCTGTCAGCCACTCTCATCTTCCCTTTTCCAAAACAACACATTAATCCAAAAGCAAACAGTTACTCCATGGTAAATTTGAGAAACTCATAACCAGGAACCCCACACACTCCCCTTTCTATCTGTGTTTTCAGACTGGGGATGTGTACACATGTGCTCACAAACACACCCACATAGAGATAGAAAAGATTGGGAGACAGGTAATACACATGGACCCTGAACTGTTTTCTTCTAACTGCAAGATATGAAGAAATCTCAGGACCTCTGTTTTGAGAGTGCTTTTCCCTTCTACATGCCGGGTTCAGCTCAGGTCAGGGCAAGCTGCCAATCTAACAGGACAATCAAGTCCCATCACATATTATCTCTCAACATTTCCTGATGAAGGCACAATTTCCCCAAAGCAATGATGGTTTGCTGGCAGGAATGAGAGCAATGACCTCTTGGGAACAAAAGGAAATTCAGTGCTTCACCATTATTTACTTCTAGAATCTCTTATGCTTAGTTCTGTGGGATCTTGATGTGTGAATAATCTTAGGGTCTCTAGAACTTGTGTCACAAGTTAGTGCCTAACATCATCTGAGGATACAACTTTCCCCAGCCATTCATCTTTTCAAACTGACCTCTAACTGTATTTCTTCTGCACATTGCTTCAGTTGTTCTCAGACTTGGAACCTGGACTTAAAAGTTTGTCACACTAATAGATTCTTTTTCTTGCCTCCCCCTCCAAATTCTCACTTTTTGCCATTTCCTCACTTCATAAAACAGAAAAAATACATCTGAACAAAGGTGTGCAAATTTATTTTATTTCTTTCAGATAAATTCTCCCTTATGACAAGGTATAGAATGGCATATATGAATGATAAGAAATCCTAAATTTAGCTTATCCTATAAAACCCAAGAAATGGTTCATCCTCACTAATCCTCTAGTTGAAATTACAACACTTATTGGATGTGCCAATGGCAGCAACCATTTTACATTCAGGAAAACAAGAATGGCAAAGTGATCATCTTTTCCTTGGTTTACAGATTGAGCCAGTAATAGGTAAAAAGACTTACCATCTTGGGCCCCAGTGGGATGCAGTTACGTCAACAGAGCATCATTGCATCTGAGGAATACCGTAGCTGCCACTTTCCTTATCCCTTCAGATGACTTAAAGAAATATGAATTATTTAACCACCATGTACAAAATAATTACCTGTACATGAATTACAAATGTTATCTTGTGCTACTTAATTCTATGAAGATAAAAAGTAACTCAATGGGTTAAAATTTGCTACATATTTTCAATACTAAGATAAAAGTTTAAACCAAAATGGTAGCAGACACATTTTGGCATTTAGTATAAACCCACCATTAAAAAGCCACATGTCAAAAGATGTTTCCTTCCAGGGCCTAGGAGAAAATGGGCAAATGAGCCTACATCCAATCTAATGCTTCAGCCTTCCATCTGATTTTGACTTCTTCCATTAACATTGCTGGTGGAGGTGGCTTGCTGTGGGCTGGTTCATCTTCTGCCTTATCATACTAAGGCTGGCCTGGAGATGGCCTTTTGTCACCTCCCCTTTATCAACTAATCTCTGGTATGCCCCTGAGGAGGGATCATGTGGCCTGATTGAGCTAAGCAGGCACGGTAGAACAGGTCGATTTTTCCACCCACTCCTTAATCAGGTGGTGGGCGATGGCTAACTTGGGGGGCAACCAGAATGGGACAGTCCCATTCTGTTGCTGAGTATACGGGTCGTTTCTCTTCAGGGCTGTGACCACCTCATCGTGAGTGAACCAGGCAGCTGCTTCTAGTTCTCTCAAATTCACCTTGATCTGAACGACATAAGGAAAAACAGAACATAAGGTTAGGAGCTACAACATTTAGAATAATATGGCCAAAGGTGAGAAAATTGTTCCACCTTCTATTCTTAGAAAATAATACCTAGGGTCCACAAGCTAAGAGATAATCAGTTCTAAATGAGTATACAAGTATTGCCCAGAACAAAAGAGGGATAATTAAAAGATGAGAGTTAAATATATTTTTTTAAATAGTTGAAAAAACCCCCACCCCATTTAAAAAATCCTGGAAGTACAAATACTAAAATATTAAGAGTGATTAACACTGAGGGGTAAATGATGAATAATACTTGTTTTTCTCTGTGCCTCTATTGATTGTATAACTTCTAATTTAAAAAGAACATACAAATGTTACTCTTTTTTAAAGGATAAAGGTTAATGATAATCAAAATCATAGTTTCTTCTTTACAAGAAGCAAAGTAACACAATTGCATCCACAGGAAGCTGAGACAGATCAGATATTAATCCAATAGAAACCAAAGCAGACAGTGGACAGACTGGCCGATAGGGGCCACACTGGCATCTGTCAGGGAGGCTACAGGAGAGCAAGATGAGGTTGGATAATACAATGGCTAAGTCCCTTTCAAGTAGAAGTTCCTATAATCGTTATTATATAATTGATAATAATTATTAAGAATTATTAGTCGGGCCGGCCGAGTGGCTCAGTTGGTTAAGAGCTCGCTCAAGAGGTTGAGCTCTGAGCAACAGTGGTTCGAGTCCCGGCCCGAGCTGAGCAGCCACTGAGCTGCCAACAGGTGGCAGGATGGCTCAGCTAAAAAAAAGAATTACTAGTCTACAACATCCTGACTGATCTGAACAGTAAGATCAATCCTGCAATCAGTCATTGAATTTGATATATTTATTGTGTGCCTGCTCTATGCAAGACCTGTTAAGTCCTGATGATGAAAAATAAATTGTCTCAGGATTGAGACATATACAAGGAAGAGTGTTGATCATGATGGCACTCCCCATTTTCACGGTGATTATTTGTTTCCTTTACAAGACTGCAAATTCCTTAAGGGTATAAATCATACCTTACACATCCTTGTATAATCTAGACTATGCTGAACGACATGGGCTTAGTAAGTACCTACTGACGAGCTTGGATGAGGCAAAGGGACATACCACAGCATGAGGGATGCATCAGCACTCACCTCTGTATGCCCTGGTTTCACAGCTGCATGACAAGCAATCATGAGTGAGCTGTTCGGAAAGGGCCAGTGCTGGGATGCAGAGTACTGCAGTCTTTCTACCTCCAGGCCAACCTCTTCTGCAACTTCTCGGTGGACAGCCTCTTCCACACTTTCACCTACAAGCACTCAGATTAATTCAGGACAGCCCTGCAGCAGGAAGGGTGATATAAATGCCCATTTGTGAAAGGAGCGCGAAACTGGCTCTGAAGTTGCAATGAACTACTACTCTTGGGAGAGTCTTAAATCTCTGCATCTCTACCACAGTAGGAATCAAGTCTGGAGTTGGGTGTTGAACTACAGTACTTAAACCTACTAGGTTAGTCATAACGAAATAAGAGTGACAGTGGGAGAGGTTACTGCTGCCGTCAGCTTTGATAAAATTTGAATGCCACATTTCACCATTTGCAAATTTTACCCCAATAGACTGAGAAAAAATAAAACTGAAAATATATATATTAAATCCTAGTTAATATGATGCATGCTGAAATATTTAGGGAGGAGTGTACTAACTTCTGCAATCTGTACATCAAAAAATAAGATGAATTGATGGATGGAGGAATGGATAGGTACATGATAAAGTATGTAAAAAATTATAAAATCTAGATGGTGTTTTTTCACTGTATAGTTCTTTAAAATATGCTGTGTGTTTGAAAGTTTGCCTGTAAAATATTGGAAAAATACAGTGCTAGAAGGCAGTTTTCTTGGCATGACAGAGAAGAATGTGTTTGAGACTCCAAGCACTATGACAACATGACAAAGAAATAACTATTGATAAGCTTTCGTGTCCTCTGGTGTCATCTGTACATACCCTAAACTCCTTACCTATATCACAAAAACCTGCCAAGGCAGAATACATTCCCTTGGGAAAGGAACTCTGGCGGGCAAGCAGGCATCGAGTCCCATCTGACACTAGCGTTATCACCACAGGAGCCATCTAGGAAAAGGGGACGGACACTTAGATACCACGGCTTCAGGGTCTGTACATGGGATGAGGGAGCGGGTGACACGGAAAGCCTTTCAACTGTACAGGCTTCTTGGATTGCTGTCCTTTTAAAGCAGGGCTCACCTGTGGGTAATAGATGCTCTTACTGGCAGGACACACACGCTTGCTGCCAGCCACATTCTTCTCGGTGGGCTGCCCACATCTGCTGCAGAACTGATGAGCATCATGCCAACGGAGGAGAGCCTGAGCCTAGGAACACAAAGATGGGCTCGGTTTCATTTAGAGAAAACGTGGAGCTCATCTGTACCAGTGCCAGGCCTCATATTCAGAGCAACTCCAGGGCAAATGCCAGTCCTTTCCCAGTTCACTTGCTTTAAATAGTTATTAACTGTTCGGATTTCAAAATAAGGAAACTATCTGAACATATTCCTCCAGCATCTGAACTAGAAATAAAAGCATATTTTTAAATGTATTAGGAATTAAAATTTATGTAACATGTATAATGAACACCCATATACTTATGACCCAGCTTCCAATATAGTTGAACACCCCAACATGGACTCCTCCCTAGTATAGCTGGAATTTTTTTGCAAATGAAAAATGTTTAGAGAGATCTCTTTAAATGGACAATCGAAAGCACTTTAGCAAGTGAAACGTAAAGCTGTGAAGTCGAGCCATTAAAGCTATAAAAAATAATTTCTCAGAACGTGATGCTGTGCATGTCATGCTGTTGGCCATTAAAATTGTTTATGAGGCCGATAGAGCCCATTGCCATTGACCTGCGTGTCCTTAGGAAAAAATGGTCCTGGTAGCGAACCTGCCAAAAACAAGGGCAAAAGAAAGAAGAATAAGCAATCTCCCTATGTCACATTGTTCTTCTGCCAGGGTTTGTAGAAAGAACTATAATCTGCAAAAGAAGAAATCAAATGTAGCTCTGGCCTTGTTATACATGCATTTGCCCTTACACGTCACTGCTTTGCTAAATTTCCTACAGAACTGAGAAATCAGACTCTACCGTGGATAGCAAGGAGGCATCCTTCACATTCAGCCAAAAGAGAGCCTTCCTCAATTCAATGAAAGACCCCTGGAGCGCTCTCTCTATTTCTGGTTTCTGTAAGGCAGCTAGAAAATTAGAAAAGAGAATGAAATGAAACAAATGCCAAACTTTGCTTCGGGGCCCCTCTCAACTGTATCCTGTTAGAACAGTGCTTTCCAGACTCACCTAGTAACACTCAACTAGGGAAAAAAAACCAAAAAAACAACAACACAGGTTCTCAAGCCCCTACCTGGAGATTCTGAACAGCAGGTGAGTGAGGCCCAGAAATCTTTATTTTTTAACAAGCACCAGGTGATTCTTATATTCGGGCAAATTTAGGAAATGTTAGACCATAGTACTATTTCCCAAGATCCTCTTCAGGGCAATAAGAACATTGGCACTAGCCACACTCTAACCCTGGAAAAGAGATGAAATGGGACCTCTAAGCTCTCTGAACCTCATTCATTATCATTACATTTGCACTCACATCCTGAAAGAAGAAAAGCCTGATTGGAGCCGTGAGCCTATAGCAAGCTGGTTCCCAAATGCAGGTCTGAAGACCCAGAACTACTCCACGGTAACATGCTTATTCACTTGCATTGATAAAAGAAATAAGAATGATATCATGAATTTTTAAACATTTCTTATGAAATATTGTAGACATACTAAATGTATACAGGTACAGAGAATAATACAATAAACATCTGTGTACCCACCACCTAGCTTAGAAAGAAAGCTTTATAAAGTGTTCTTTATTTTCTTTTAAATGATGATGATAGTAGATGGTAGTATTTTTCACGTCCTAACTTTAAAAAAATAGAAAGTTGATAACCTTCATGTATTCCCAACATTGTCTTTGAAATTTTACTGTCCTGTGAAATCCCGAAGTCTGAGAACCACTGGGAAGTACCCATTAGGAATGATGCTATGTACCATTTATGGAAGAGGAGCTATTCAGACCTAGGTCCAGAGCAAACCATGCTTCATGGTGTTCGGAGCATCCAATCAGCACAGAATCTTCTATTCTTTGTGTGTCCTGTCCAAACTTATCCAGGAGTCTTTCCAACTCTAAGAAACAGAAAAGGAGAAGGGAAAAAAACAAGGGCTTTAATGAAACCAACAGATCTATATTAAATGTATAGGAAATCATGTACTTAAACTTGAGGTAGCTACACCTGGCTTCCAGTTGCTGGCCTGCAGCAAAATAGCTACGTAATCTCGGTTTAATCACTTAACCTCTCTAGGCCTTTGTTTTCTCATGAACAATCTGAGTGTAGACTAAACAAGGAATTCTTTCTGGGTAACACTGTATTACTCTATGACTATCACCAAAGGAACATATCCCCTAGCTCAAAAGTTACATGACAGTTCATGTATGGCACTGAAAAAAAAGTGTCCTGCTTTAATGGTAGAGACCAAATCAGGTCTATAATTTAGTCTCCAGATTATGCTGCTTTCGTGGGCCAGAGTAGAATACTCATCTGAGATCCCAGTCTGTATAAAACAAGGGCTGTATAGGGAGAAAACCTGTCATCCTATGCCTGAAAGGCTCATATTTATTTGTTCGTAATAACAGCATAACATTGCTAAATCTCTAAATGTTTAGTGGGCTTTCTTATATTCTTCTGTGCCGCTAGAAACTTTCAATCCAAGTACTCCAACATCTAACCCTTGGAGAAAATTCATGGCAATGTATTTAGAAGTTAGTCAGCATGTAGTGAGTGACATTATACAAAACTGAAAGTTATCTTGAAAGCCAAATCCCCATGGCTTAGATAGCTCTACTTATATACCCCAAAAGAGTTCTAGACACAAATTCATTTTAATTTACTTTTGATTTTGACCCTTCTGGGAGAAATAAAGCCATGATGTAAATGTTGGCCGGGATAAATGTTTGACTACATGGAGGCTGCCATCTAAGACATGGGTTGGGAAAATCTTTTAGGCTTTTGAGCCTTAAGATCTCTGTCACAACTACTCCGCTCTGCCATTCTAGTGTGAAAGCAGTCATAGACAATCTATAAATGAATGAGTGTGGCTGTGTTCCGGTAAGAATGTATTTACAAAACGCAGTGGGGTTCAAAGTAGGAAAGCAGTGTTGCCCACCCCCAATTTAAGGCAGGTGTGGTTCATACCGTCAGCAAATAACATGACTGGGCCACACAGGTTTATACACTAACTAATTGGCAGAAGCAGTTTGAAAAGTCTGGACTCTAAAGTTGAAGGATCCTTCTCAGGGATTCAGTATGGACGGAGTTCTGCTTCGTGGCCACAGGCTGGTCTGTACTGGTCCACTCTGGGCTTACCTGATAGGCTGTGCTGGGGGGGCAGGTACTGATGTTCTGATTTCTGAAGCAAAGGAGCCAGGCCATGAAAGAGGTAAAATGTTCCTGTCTGCTGGGCTTTTTTACATGCGTCATCATCTTCCTTCAGTTCAAATAAATACCTGTATTTTGGGACATACAGCATTACAAAACCACGTTTAGTTCCTTGTACAGCATTCATCTTTGGGAATTTTGTTCCTGCATCTCTCTCCCATCACATTTTCTTTTATTTTTTTACATCCTAAATTGCTCTATAAAGGACTGGAGGTGGCTGCCGACAATCATTCCCTCCTTTGTCCTACTATACACCTTGTCAGGACTTCTGTGGGTGCACGTGTTATACTATCTGGTCATTTGCCTGTCTTCCCTAAAGATGATGGTCTCCTTAAGGGCAGGGTCTGTCTTAGTTCTCTATCGCCAGTAATTAGCATATTGATGGCTCCATTCCATAAATATGTATTGACTTGAACTTCAAGGGTAATAAATATTTACTGAATTGAACCTCAAGGTACTTTGCCAATATTACACTGTGAGGCAAGAATTTACATGCAGTGGATTGAGAGGAAAACAAGTACAGTGATAAAACATCAACCACAGAATACCTAGAGATGGGAGCGGACTTTATCATTGCAGACAAAGAGCAAACACTGTACCTTCAGTAACTCTCATTCAATCTAGAGAAGATAAAGAGCAAATTTTATCTTCAATGCACCCTTGTTTCAAACATCTAATCCCCCAGGTGGACACCACTGGCTTCTTACCGCTTTACTAAAGGGACCACTGATGGGAAAGCGAAGACATGACTTGACTTAATAAGTGTAATATTTTCAGTAGCCAGAATAAAAATGTGAAAGAGAGCATATCATTTTAGCTTCTCTACAAGAAATACTGATAGTACTGGGGCACATTCTAGGCTTTTCTGGTACCTTCATTAAGGTACTAAAACTATGGCCTAAAACTATCCTTTCAAGAGCCTTGGGAATCAGGTCAGGGTCCACGTGATTCAGGGGGACTGAATGTGGATTCTCCTCCTGAGGCCTTAGGAATAACCGTTTTTGCTTGTTGAAAGCCCTGAAACAGACTCTCGGGTATATGGCACATTTTGTCACTTACATGGAAACACAATTGACAGATATTTTCTGTAGGACCAGGGAGCCTTTGTAACAACAGTAGACAGAATTGGCTCATCATGCAACTATTGTACAAAGCAAAATGATAAACACACCCCAGCAGCACCTTTAGGAACCTATTTTTGACTGTGTGATAAAAGGGGTTGTTACAATGATCTCTTTATAAACAGAAGACAAAAGAAACCTGAGATAGTAATACTTGTGATATTTTTAAACTTATTGTGAGTGACTGCAGCCTCCTGGGGCAAAGACTCAATGTATGTCAAAAGAGAGACATGTGCCATTCAGAAGTTACCAAATATAAATAATAGAACAAACACAGCTGCCTTCGTAAAAGAACAAAAAGAGTGGTACAAACTGTGCTTTGCCCTAATGACCCTAAAAAGCAAAACACCCAGGTTAAGGCCTTAAACCCCAGGCCTCACGGGAACTGGAACTGAGATCCAAAAAATTTCTTACATTCTTCTTGATCAGAAACAGAATTTTAAAAAATTCATTTAGTCTCCTCTAGTTATAATAGCATGAAAACCACAAAACTCAGATCAAATTTAAATGTTTTTTTCTTATTATAAAACTAGAAAAGTCATTTTATAGAAATCAGAAAATACAGTTACCAATTTTTTAAAGAAGGGAAATCATCAAGAATCCCACCAATCAGAGATGATCACTATTTGCATCTTAGAATTCTCCAAACTATTTATTAATATTATGCATCTATACATATATAGGTCTATTTAGAATCATACCTAGTAATTTGTAGCCTTTTTTCTTAAACATTAACATTTTTTCACACCATATTCCATATTAATAGAATTTTATTCTTTTCTCATGAGTTTTGATTCATTTTTTTAATATAGTTAATCTCTTTACTCATTTAACATACTCAATATTTCTGTTACTGTTCTCAGAGTCTCAGCCTAAGAACTGCAAATAACCTACATACCCAACAATATCTCAAACAAGTATTGTGATCTTGCTGTGTTCTCACTCTTGCTCATGTAAGATTGTATGCTTATATG